TCCTCCTCCTCCTCCTGCTCCTCCTCCTCCTCCTCCTCCTCCTCCTCCTCCTCCTCCAACTCTTCCTCCTCCTCCCCCTCTCCCTCCTCCTCCTCCTCCTCCTCCTCCTCCTCCTCCTCCTCCTTTTTTTGTTGTTCTCTCTCTCTCTCTCAGCTGAATGCCGCGGTGGCGCCTCTCGCAGGCCGCGGTGGTGCTTGGGTTCGGTAGCAAGTCATGGGAGCCTGGTGTACCCTTTCGGGTTCCGTCTTTAGCGTCGGTTCGCGTCGATTGGCGTCTGGGGGTCGATGAGAGAACGCCGATTTAGCGTCAGTTGGCGTCGGTTAGCGTCGATTTAGCGTCGATTAGCGTCGACTAGAGTCGATTAGCGTCGATTCGCACGAGCCGACAAGATGGTATGGGAGGCTCCCATGAGTTGCCACCGAACTTGGGCACTTTAGTGCGAATTGGTGATTCGGGTGGACGCGGCATCGCGGCGGCGACGACGACCACACCAGACACGACGATGGTAGGAAGAATCGTTGCTGCGATGAAGACGGTGGCGGCGGTAAGGCCAATGACGGCGCCAGGCGTGCGTGTGGATTTTGTTTCGTCGCTAGCAAACGGTTCTGGAAACTCCACACGTTTTTTTTATATTCGAGTGCGCGCGAGTCCTTATTTTTCAGAGGTGGAATGGGGGGAGGGCGATGCCAGCCTGGTTGGGATGGTATGGATTTTTATTCAAGATGACTGCTGGGGCAGAGTCATATATCGATTGCTCGACCCCATGAGGGTGACGGGTGGTTCGGGGGGGACGGAGTGGTAGATCAGCATTTCCTTTTATAAAGAAGATTTTACGTTGTGCGTTCTACGCGGTGCAATCCACCCTGCCGAATTTGAAATTGTCAATTCCATTGCTCGCGCAATCACCACACCAACTCACCCGCCACCTGGTTTGCAAAACCCATGCGGCGGCGATTGCGATGACTGCGTGGCGCTGGCTGGCGCAACGCTGCGGCCAAGTTAGCGCATGTGGTCGCGGTTGGTGGCAATGCTGAAAATTCGAAAGTTGTTCTAAGGACCCTTGCGAGTGAACGCAATTTGTTTCTAAAGACTCATGTTGCTAACCTGCAGGTTTTTGAAGGATTCCGGCATGTGTGCGCGAAGACGCGCGCGTGTTGACTGTGCCACGCCTGTTGCCAAGGATTGTTGGACGCAGATATTTTCTGATAAACGGATGCGCGCGCATAGTGTCATTTGACGAGGGAAAAGGGGTCCAGCCCAGTTGGGCTGGGATGATGTGAGTTCGTGTTGAAAATTAACGGTGGGACATAATCGTATGTAAGTTGCGCAGCCGCAGGGGGTGCCGATGCCCCGTGGGTGGTGGCGGTAGATCTTAATTGTTAAAAAAAATGGAGAAAGTAATTGATGTCCGCGCTGAGATGCCAATTCCACTGTTCGCGCGATCGCCCCACCCACCCGCAGCGTTCTTTGAAAAACCCATGCGGCGGCGACTGCGATGAATGCTGTGCGCTGGCTGGCGCATCGCTGCGGCCGCGTCAGCGTGCGCAGGCTCGCGCGCAGAGCGGCCAGCTAGTTTCCCGTCACCGAGGTGACCGCGGTGGCGTTGACCGATGAGGACTTCCCAGCGCGTCTCACAGGCCACAGTGACGCGCGGGCATCTCAGTGCGAGCCGGTGATTCGGGCGGCGCGTTATCATGGCGACGTCGACGACGGCAACCACGACGATAGTAGTACCGACGTTGGTGACAATGATGGCGATGAAAACGGCAAGGCGGAAGACAGTGCTGATGTTGCTCATGCCGATGACGATGATGGTGTGCACGTGTCGGTGATGAGCGTCGTGGGCGGATTTCGACATGCGCGAGCGGCAAACGCGGGCGAGCGGCGGGCATGTTGCTATTTGTCCGGGTTCGTGCCCCCCCCATCCAGCAAACGCACAAAAACGCTATCGATTTGGTCGACATGCGCTCGCGACAAGCCCGCTTGGTGGAATTCGATGAAGTTGTTGCAAAACGCATGTTCTCGTCAGGATTTACAAAAACGCGCAGTCTGTTTTGATACATCATGTGTCCCCACCGTCGCCTTCTCACCAGAAAATGCACATCGCGAAACCGTCGGTGTCTGATAATTCCCGCATGCGCGCGCGACGACGCGCCCGCGTTTACTTTTGTTCCATATGTTGCAAGCGACTCGCGCCCCCCAATGCAAGGGCGTTCGAATCAGACTTCGACACGCGCGCGCGAGAGGCCCACTTGGTTGAATGTGGTGGCACCTTTTTGCAATTAGTAGATGTTGCACGAGTTCGGAAGAGCGCGCACGCAAACTTTCGGTGTGTGAATAACCATGTTGCGCAGTTCTGTTTTAATATGTATTCGGGAAACTCGTTATTGAAATCTTCACAGAACTTGAGGTTGTTGAAACACATCGGCATGCGCGCGCGACGACGTGTGGTTTTGGATGTTGTTCCGAATTGGATTCGTGAGTACAGCAAATGTTTGACCAACGCTTGCGCGCATAGTATTAATTAATGCGGATAAAAGAGGTCGGAACAAAAGGGCTAGGCTGGGATGATACGGGCTCATGTTTAAAATGATAGGTGTGACAAAATCACGTGTACATTCTATTATCCAAGGGGTGTCAATAAGCCCGGGGTGGTTGGGTGGTAGATTTCCGAATGAAAAATCTACGCGGCGCAATCACAGCGAGGCGGCGACGGGGCGGCGACGGCGGCGGCATAGCCGCCAAACCGACCGTCAGGCCCAGACGACGGGCAGCGACGAGGCGGCGATGGGGCGGCGACGGTGGCGACATAGCCGCCAGACTGATCGTCAGGCCCAGACGACGGGCGGCGACGAGGCGGCGACGGGGCGGCGACGGCTGCGGCTGCGACATAGCCGCCAGACGGACCGTCAGGCCCATTCGGCTAATTTCTCATGAAACAAGTAAGAACCCCTCAGTGCAAGCAGTGTTAGGGGAACTGTGTGCAATCACGCGCTGCAGTGGCATCGGTGTCTGGCTCAAGTGCGGTACAAAAAACGCTGTTGCACAACGGCGCAGGTGCGAGAAGCAACCGTCATAGGCAAAACGAGGAAAGAAACTGCGGTATGACAAGCTCGGCTGCAGCGCGGTAGAAATCAAATATCGTTGGACTATCGCGCTAGATCCACGGATCCGTGAGCCTGAGTTTGCCTATCGCAGGTCGGCTCGTGTAGTGCTTCTGGCTTGCCTGGCGACTTCTTGATTCGCACAGCGATGGAGGCCGACCCAGGTGTAGCTCTGCGGCCGCGCTCCCTCTTCCTCCTCAAAAAAGCAAGGCCGCAATCCATGCCAGGCGCAGACGACTTCTCGGAAGGCTCCCGAGACGCCCCATCGCCTTCCAAGAAGGCCTGCCCCTTCCCCCTTCCCCCCTGAGCTCGCCGCCGATGTTCCTCGCACTTGCTCCACGGACCACTGATCCATGCCAGCGCGTGCCCGACCGGCTTGGCCGCGGCGAACTAGGAGCTGGGACTCTCTGGCACCCTCGGTCCAGCTATCCCCCATCCCCCCAATCACATGGGTCAAAGGCCCAACGTCCACCTTGGAGTCCTTCTTGTAGGGTCCGACCCTTCGCCGCCCCATCACGAGCTCGCCCGCTCATGCGCGGCGCCTGCGGTCCGCTGTCTTCTCCGCTGCTGCTGCTCCCGCCCCGCGGTCCCAGCTTGCGGCTCCCCACGGCGGCGGCGGCGGCGGCGGCGGCGACGACGGCGACGGCGGCGGCGGCGGCGACGACGACGCGACGACGACGCCCCAATCGCGAGCTCGCGCGCTCATGCGCGGCGCGTGTCCGACCGGAAAGGTGGCCAGGGCAGCGCCGCGCCCGCGGGCCGTCGCCTCCCCCCCCCCCCGCCAGGAGTACGTCGGCAGGGACGCGCGCCCGCCCTCCGCGCGCGCGCGCGCCGCTGGCGCCCTGGGGCGGGCGCGGTCGCGCCCCGCCAGCCCTGCGGCGATCACAAGGGGTCTGCGATCGGCACCGCTGGGGAAGCCAGACCCGCTCGGGTCACGAGGGAATCGCGACGGAAGGTTGGCCTGTGTTTGCGGCCTCTGGGGGCCCTTGCGGGACCTCGGGCCCGTCCCCAAGCGACTCAGGGCGAAGAACCAATCCCGGGGAATGGGTCGAGACCTCTGGGGGCCGTTCCAAAACGACTCAGGACGAAGAACCAATCCCGGGGAATGGGTCGAGACCTCTGGGGGCCATCCCAAAACGACTCAGGACTAAGAACCAATCCCGTGGAATGAATCGAGACCTCTGGGGGCCGTTCCAAAACGACTCAGGACTAAGAACCACTCCCGGGGAACGGGTCGAGACCTCTGGGGGCCGTTCCAAAACGACTCAGGACGAAGAACCACTCCCGGGGATGGGTCGAGACCTCTGGGGGGCGACGTTATAAAAAACGTGGTTTGCGATCGGCACCGTTGGCGCCTGGGGAGCACGACGCTGTCCTCGTCGGGCCTCTCCGCGGGGCGTGGCGGAGAGCTCTGTCGAGGTCCTCGCCCGCCACCCAGGGTGCCACACCCTTTGCAAACCGCACCCTTCGGAGTCGCCGAAGTCACGCGGCGAGGGGGGGGGCTACTACGGCCAAGAGGGGCCCAAGATAGCCCAAGAGGACGCCAAGACGGCCCAAGGGACCTCCAAAACGTCTCCAAGACAATCCCGGGGAACCTGTCGGACCCTTCAAAACTTCCCCGAAACGGCCCCGAGACACCCCTCAGACGTTCAAGAGGCTCCACGACGGGCCCACGACGGCTAGCGGTGGCCAAATCACTTTTCAAGAATATCGCAAAGAGCGCCATAGCAGGCTACGTTAATGATGGCGTCCCCTCCGCCCTGCCTTAGGATTTCTGGATCGCGAGGTGCCGCATCAATGGGTACCGCTCGTGGGCCGCTTTCGAGGGAAGCGCGCCTAGTTCCCGCAGCAGCCATTTCTTGAGATTAGGCGCAGAGAGTTTCAGTAGATCCTGCCATGGGCACCTCCTGCTTGGCTTGCGATGACGCCGTTTTGCTCAAGTCGCCGTTCCGAGACACGCAGCGCAAGGAGCAGTCTTTACGACACAGGGGCTCCCGCCGCATGGGCAAATCTACACAAGGAGCATAATCGCCTTCATATTGGGCCTCCTCGTCGTCCTCCTCGTTCTGCTCCTCGTCCTCCCCGTCCTGCTCCTGAAGGTGCCTGGCAGACCTGCGCCATTTCACCTCTGCGTTGCCCTTGCACTTGGGGGCAATTTGGCCTAACGCTGCCTGGCTCCACTCGCTTTGGCACTCAGGTAGGCGTTGGGTTATTGCACAAACCATTGTGGTCTTATTCCCCCCTCCCCCCCTTCCTCGACCCCTTCTTCCCCCTCCTCTTTATCCTTCCCGTTCCTCACCCGTCTCCGCCCCGTCCGCCTCTGCCTCCGTCACCGCCTGCCCCATAGCCGCTTTGACCCAAGAGCCACTGCACTTGAATGTCCTGCAGCTCCGTCGCAGATCTGGCTGCCGCTGACCCGGGGCAGTTCTTGACACGTTTGTCCTCATCGTCATCTTCCTCGTCGCCCTCGGCATCCTCCTCGTCGCATCATACCCCCTCCTTCTGCCCATTCTTCTGTTTATCCATCCTCCTCCGACTCCCTCCCCTCCCTCCCCTCCTTCTTCCCCCATAGTATCGCCCTCTTCCTCCACCTCCTCCTCCTCCTCCGCCTCCTCCCCGCCTTCCCTGGTGTCTTCGTCTCCTCCCCATTCCTCCTCCCTAGCCTCCTCCTGACCCCCCCCCACCCGCCTCCCCACTGCCTCCGCCTGCCTGTCCTTACGTTATCCAGCCCTTTTGGCTCGATGTGGAGGACGGGGGACACGGCCATCGGGGGTGGCTCTTTTGGAGCCTCGGCCCGAATGGGCCGCCATTCGGAGGACGCTCCGCCGCGCCTTCGGGGAGGAGGGGGAGGAGGGGGAGCAGTGGAGGAGATGCAGGAGGAGCTGTCGAGGAGGACGGGGAGGGAGGGGGAAAGGGAGGAGGAGGAGGAGGAGGAGAAGGGGGAAAGTGAGGGGGAAAGGAAGGACGAGGAGGAGGACCAGTGTAAACCAAAGAGTCATCAACGGTGTTGGAATTAACCCTCCCTCCAAGCTCCCTCTTCATATGCCCCTACGACGGTTCATTTCCATTGAGGGAACTGCCTCGCTGGGAGGCACCTTTGAAGACCCTGAAGCAAGCCGAAACATTGTTCTCGGGATATCAACGCCACGGATCAACCTGACTGCTGCGTCTTGACGATCCAGAATCGTGTCAGAACGCCTTTGTTGGAGCTTCAACACCGCGAATCAACATAACCGTTGCATCCGCATCATCCTGAACCCGTCCACACCACCATTTCTGGTACGCTAATCATCGGAACCCGTGAAACTCTTCCAAATGTTATGGACGAATGCGCGCTGCGCTAAGGCGAGAGTCACTATTTGGAAAGGAACCGCCCTCCGTCCGTGAAGCTCTTGCTATCTTTTGAAACGAATGCGCGCGGCGCTAAGGCGAGAGCCACATCTTGAACACGACCCGCCCTCAATCCGTGAAACTCTTGCAACTTGTATGAACGGAAGGCTAGAACCACATGTTGAACACCATCCGCCATCCGCCCTCAATCCGTGAAGCACTTGCTCCTCCTCGTTCTCGTCCACTCCCCGACCCCCCTACTCCTCTAACTTCCTCCTCCCTCTCCTTCTCCCCCTCCTCCTCCCCCTCCCCCCCCTCCTCCCTTGCCCTGGGGGGCCTCTCTTCTCTCCTTTTCACTCCTATCCTCCCTCCCCCTCCGCACTCCCTCACCCACTGTCCGCTGTAAACTTGTCTTGCCGTCTCCGTCCCCCACCCTCCTCCCCCTCTCACCCCCTCCCCACCCCTAAGCGACTCCCAGCCTCGGCCCACTCCTCCTCCCCTCCTCCTCCTCCTCCCCCTCCACCGCTCTCCTCCTCCTCAAGACCTCCTCACATCATCCGATCCTTGGTCCGCCTCCCTCCGACCTACCCTCCTCCTACTCCTCTCCTCCCTCCTCCTCCCCCCTCCCTTCTCCTCCTCCTCTCTCCCCCTCCTCCCTCCCCTTCCTTCTCTCCTCCTCCTCCTCCTCCTTCTCCTCTCGCTTCCCTACTTTCCCCCTGGAGGATGCGCTTCCCCACCTCTGCCTGGGCGGCGTCCAGCTGCTCTTCGGCGCCACAGCGGTGGTCGGCCGCCTGGGCATGCGCGGCTCCAGCGGGGAGGGGCCGCAGAGGCTCGCACTCAAGCCACCCTCCTCGCCATCGGCCTCCTCCGCCTTCTCCTCCTTCTCTTCCTCCTCCTCCTTTTCCTCCTCCTCCTCCTCCTCCTCCTCCTCCTCCTCTTCGCTGTCTGTTCATCGTCGTCGTTGTCCTCCTCCTCGCCCTCCCACCCTTCCCCCCCTTCCTCGTCCTCACCATCCCCCATTCCCCTTCCCATCCCCCCCCCTCCTCCGCTTCTTGTCAGCATCCTCGTTCTCGTTCCTCTCTCCGCATCCTCCGCGCAGTCGGCGTCGTCACCGTCGGTGGCCTTATCATTGCCGTTGTCTCATCGTCCCCCTCTTTCTTCTCTCCTCCCCTCTCCCCCCCATCCCCCCAATCCAGCGCCTTCCTTCCCTCCTCCTTTCTTCCTCATCCTCCTCCTCCTCCTCCTCCTCCTCCTCCTCCTCCTCCTCCTCCTCCTCCCTCTCTCCTGCTCCAGCCCCCTCTCCGCCCAATTACCCCCACCTGCTAACCCCCTCCCGTCCCACCCCAGCTGGCCTCCCCCATTCCCTCCCTGCCCCCCCCCTTCCCAGGCAGTCGACGTCTTCTTCCTTCTTCCAACGCGGGGCCCCCAGAAGCCCCGACCCTTCCCCCAGGGCCTGCTTCTCCCGGGCCGGAGGGGCGGGGCGGGCGTGGGTCTCCGGCCCCTCCCGCGCGGCCCGCTCCACTTCACCGTCTGGCGCTTCCTGCTGGCGGTGCCGTCGCTGGTCTGCCTGAGCAGGTCGAGTGCCGTCGCAGCGCGGGGGGAAAGGGGCGGGGGGGGAGAGGAGCAGTGGGGAGGGGGGAGAGCCGAGAGAGGAGAGAGGTGGCGACGGAGGAGAGGAGGGAGGAGGAGGAGAGAGGAGAGGAGAGGAGAGAGCAGAGAGGAGGGAGGAGGGAGGAGGAGGCGGAGGAGGAGGAGGCGGCGGAGGTGGAGGAGGAGGGGCGAGGGGCGAAGACACCCTCGCCCCTCCTCGCACCTCGCACCCGAGAGGCGAGAAGGAGGTGGGGGAGGAGGGGGAGGAGGAGGAGGAGGAGGAGAGGAGGAGGAGGAGGAGGAGGAAGGAGAAGGAGGAGGAGGAGGAGGAGGAGGTAGGAGGAGGAGGAGAGGAGGAGGAGGGAGGAGCAGGAGGAGGAGTAGGAGTAGGAGGAGGAACAGGCGGGGGAGGAGGAGGGAGGAGGAGGAGGAGGAGGAGGAGGAGGAGGAGGAGGAGCAGGCGGAGGAGGAGGAGGAGCAGGCGGAGGAGGCAGAGGAGGAGGACGAGGAGGAGGAGGAGGAGGAGGAGGAGGAGGAGGAGGAGGAGGAGGAGTGGGAGGAGGAGGAGGAGGAGGAGGAGGAGGAGGAGGAGGAGGAGGAGGAGGAGGAGGAGCAGGAGGAAGAGGAGGCAGATGAGGGGCGAGGAGCGAGGAGCGAAGAGGGAGAGGAGCGAGGAGCGAGCAGGAGCGAGGTGCGAGCAGGAGCAGCAGGGACGAGGTGGAGAGGGGCCTGCCGGCAGGTGGCAGGCCGACGGCCCGGCCGCCCCGCCGGGTTGGGCGGCGCCCGGCTTGCTGGCCGGCGCGGTGTGCTTGGTCTTCTCTTCGTCCTGCTCCCTCCCCTCGTCATTGTGCCTCGCTTCGTCCTGCTCCCCCTCCTCGTCCTCACCCTTCCTCCTCCTCCTCCCCCCTTCCTTCCTCCTCCCTCCTTCCTCCTCCTCCTTCCTGCTCCTTCCTCCTCCGCTCACTCCTCCTCCTCCTCCACCTCCTCCTCCTCCTCCTCCTCCTCCTCTCTCCTCCTCCCCCTCCCTCCTCCTTCTCCTCCTCCTCCTCCTCCTCCTCCTCCTCCTACTCATCATACTGTTTTTGATCCCCCGTTCGCTTCCCCTTCCTTGAGCTTCTTCCCTTCTCCCACTCTTCCGCCTTCCCATCCTCGCATACGCCCGTCCTCCCTTTCTTGCTGCTCCTCCTCGTCGTTGTCATCATCCTCCTTCCATTGTCTCTTCCCGTATCCCCCCCGCCTCGATTGACAATCCTTTCTCCCCGTACAATGCGTCAACCCGAACCTCGTCCCTTGATCCGCCCGACTGGTCGGCAGCAATCTGGGCATCACCCTCGGCATCGCGCTGAGCGGCCAGGTGACCGCGAGCTCGTGGCAGCCCCTGCAGCTGCTGTTCGGGACGGCGCTGTCCTTCGCGCTCGGGATCGAGGCGCCATCGTTCAGGAAGCCCCTCGTCCTTCTCCTCGTTGTCATCGTCCTCCACCTCCTCTTCGTCCTCCTCCTCCTCCACCTCCTCCTCCTCTGTCCTCTCCTGCTTTTCCCGCTTTCCTCCCTGCCTCCCTCCCCCCCCCTCCTCCCTCCATCCTTCCTCCATCCTTCCTCCTGCTTCCTCCCTCCTCCCGCCCTCCTCCTCCTCCCCGCCTCCGGCCTCCTCCCTCCTTCGTCCTCCTCGTCCTCCCCGTCCCTCTTTGCCCCTCGCCCCTCCCCCCACCCCCGCCACAGGAAGCTCGCGGGCGTGGCCATGGGCATGCTGGGAGCCGCGCTCCTGGTGCTCGCGGACCCAAACATCCGCGGCGCCCCCGCGCAGACCGCGGGGTCCCTCCTCGGCCACGCGGCCCTCTTCGCGAACACCTTCTCCTCCGGAGCCCTCTTCGTGATCCGGAAGCGGCTGGTAGGCGCCGCGGTCGTCGGCCCGCCCGGGGGTCGCATAGCAACAAACCACGGCAGAAGCAGTATGACTTCTCGGAGCTCCGCGCGGACTTCTTGGATCAGCGCTGGGCCCCCTTGGCGGCGCCTCCGGCGCCGCCCCTGGCGCGCTCCGCGCGCCGGGAAGGGGGGTGCCATGCAGCGCCGATCCCAGGAATCCGCGCGTATTCCTCCGAGAGATGGTGTTATTGCAGCTGTTCTGTTCCGTCCAGGAGGGGGCCAAGAGATGCTGACCGGAGCAGCCACCGCACGCGTGAGACATCGCACGTGCTCGGCGAAACGCAAGCGTGACCCTGGGTGTAAGAGTGACCTTTCGGGGGCCGCGGGTTCTTGGGGGGCCGCGGTGGGGAGGGGGGGCCAGCACAAGCGCGCAGGCCGTTGTTGCCTCTTCGCTTTCAGCCATCTGGAGGCCCATCTTGATGGGCACACTTCTCACCACCACTACCACATCTAGGACGGGGGAAAAAGGGCAGGATGATGATCCTCCTCCTCCTTCTCCTGCTCCTTCTCCTCCTCCTCCCGCTCCTGCCTGCGGCAGTGGTGGTGGGAAATCGGCCCATCATGGGGGGGCCATCGGCACCCGCACCAGAGGTCGCTCCTGCGAGAGTTTGCTGTTGCGGCCAACGCACGGCACGAAGTGGGTGCCGCTGGCGGCTTCTTCTTTTGCTTTGGGGCGGGACATGGGCCAGGACAGACATGGGGGGCCCTGGAGGGGAGCCCCGCAGCCTCGTGTTCGCCGCCCTCGTCGGCCACACGCACTTCAGCCTGACAGCCTTCGCCGGAGGGACCATCCGGTGTGGGCCCAGAGGGGGTCCGCCGCAAAAGTATATATATACATATATATATATATATATATGACCACCCTTCGGGTGATAAGGAGGTTGTGGGGGGGGGAGAGAGAGAGAGAGAGAGGGGGGGGAACCAACATCTGACTTAATCGATCTCACTATCGATCTCACTAAACGGAACGCCACTGGACACCACGGGACATTTGTCGATCTCACTATCGATCTCACTCAACGGGACATCACGAGACACCACGGGACACTACGGGACACCGCGGAACACCTCTCGATCTCACTATCGGTCTCACGATCGGTCTCACTATCAATATCACTCAACGGGACACTATAGGACACCACGGGACACCACATCGATCTCACTATCGATTTTACTTGATGGGACACCACGGAACACCTGTCGATCTCACGATGGAGCTCACTATCGATCTCACTTTTTGGGACACCACGGGACACCACGGGACACCTCGGGGCACCACATCGATCTCAGTATCGATCTCACTATCGATCTCACTCAACGGGACACCACGGGACACTACGGGACACCTGTCGATCTCACTATCGATCTCACTTTTTGGAACACCACGGGACACCTCGGGGCACCACATCGATCTCAGTATCGATCTCACTATCGATCTCGCTATCGATCTCGCTATCGATCTCACTATCGATCTCACTCAACGGAACACCACGGGACACCACGGGACACTGGCGGGACACCGCGGGCCAACGGCCGCGGGGGGAGAATCATTTGGTCCGGCCGCGGTCCAGCTACAGGAGGATTTCGTGACACCAGCGGGACACCGGCCGGACACCGCGGGCCACCGGCCGCCGGAGGAGCAACATTTGGTCCGGCCGCGGCCCAGCCACAGGAGGATTTCCTCTCGCCCGCCCACGCAGCTTCGCCTCGCCCGCACGCACGAACGGCTCGCACGACACGAACCCGAAACGGAAATCGATTTCCGGGTAGGGGGGGTCTACGTGTCACGTCGGATTCACCCCCCAAACTCCGATATACATATATATATATATACATATATTCATACATACACACATACATGTGTATACATATACATATAGTCATACTATATAGTTATATATACATAAGTATACATATATATATATGTGTATATATATATATATATATATCGATGGCCGCCCCCCTCCAAGATCATGCATCTCTCTGCTTCTCCGTTCCTTCCTTTCCTCCTTCTCCGTTCCTTCTCTTTCTCCTCCCTTTCCACCTTCTCCAAACACAATTCCTCCTCCTCCTCGCCCATTATCCCTCTCCTCCCTCTCCTTTCCGTTTCCTCCTCTCTGTAGCAACGCAAAACCAATACTACACAGTGTTTTGCGCCCTCGGAGCAAGGAAACGCTGTGTATGTTTGATTTGTTTTTTATATATTTTTGGATGCAAGGGAACATGTTTTTTTTGGGGGGAGCTCAAGTGCTCCCCGCGGTCTCGCCCCCAGCACCTCCTCCTTCTCCCCCTTCCTTTTTCCCCTTCCTTCTCCTCCTTTCCTTGCCTCCTTGCTGCGAAGCAGGAAAACCAAGAATACACAGTTTGTGGCGCCCTTGGTGCAATGAAACGCTGTGTACTTTTGTTTTTGTTATGTTTTTTTGGTTTCGGATGCAAGGAAGCACCGTGTAGCTTTTTTGGTTTTGGAAGCTCAAGTGCTCCGGTCCAAGAGGCGCCCAAGACGACCTAAGAGGACCCCACGAGAGGCCCAAGAGGGGCCCGGACAGCCCCGAGACGGCCTATGGAGGCCCCGAGACGGCCTCAGGCGGCCCAAGATGCTCTCCAGACGGCCCCGTGAGCCCCAAAGACCCCCCCGGACGGTTCCAGGCGGGTCCAAGGGGTCCCCCGGAAGGGCTCTTCCAAGCTAAATTTGTCAAATCCCCTTCGGAAAATTTGAATTTTCAGCAGATTCGGCTTATTGCTTTTCGAAGCGTCCACAACGGCCCCAGAGGCTTACAAGATCGCCCAAGAGGGCCCCCAAGAGGGCCCAAAGATGGCTCCAGACGGGCCCAGGACGGCCCAAGAGGCGCCCAAGACGACCCACGATGACCCCACGAGAGGCCCACGAGGGGCTCAGGACAGCCCACGATGGCCCCAAGACGGCCCACGAGGCGCCCTGCCGGCCCAAGAGGGCTCCGAGAAGCCCCCGAGGAGCCCAAAACAGCCCCCATAGAGCTCCCAAACGGCCTCCAAGAAGCTTCAAAATTGCTTCCAAAAGAGGGGGGCGGACGAGAGGCGAGAGGCCCCTCGCAGGCGCAAAACAAAAACAACATGTTCTGACGCTCCGGTGGCCCTGGGGCTGCCCCGCTGCGCTCCCTACTTTGCCGCGACGCCGTTCCGACGCCTCCGACGCGGCCAGAGACGGCGCCGCGTTTGCCCGAACCCGCTCCCGCGTCCGCCGCGATCCCGGCGCGAATCTTCCAACGTTGCTGAGGCCTGGACTCCTGAATTTCTGCCTCTTGCGAAGCTCGAACACTTCGGCCCCCGTTTCGATGCATTGGGCGCCTTCGGTGAGGGAGCAGCACTAGAGCAAGCTTCAAGGGATCTACGGCAGTAGCTGGCAGCGTCGCACCACCCAGCACGCGCCACCATGCTTCGTGGATATAATCCACGGGTCCACAATAGTACATCTATCAATGTTCTCGTGGCGTAGACAGGGGCCCCCAACGAGTGCAACCCAACCGTGGCGCAGAGGGGCCCCCATCGAGTGCAACCCCACCCGGCCCCGGCGCGCGCACTCTCGGACCTGGGCCCCGCCCCGGGGGGCCCCCGCAGGCTGGGCGCCGAGAGAGCCCCGCGTCCTGCCCAGGTTCCGTGTTGTGCGTGCCGTCGCTCCCGGCTCTGCGAGCGGGTGCCGACGTCGAAAAGTTACGCCCGCGCGCCCATCTCCGGGGGTCCCCAAGCGGAGTGGTGACCACACCGTGCGGTGAGTCGGTGGGGATATCGGGGTCACCGCGCGGTTTTGGGACTCGGGTCGTTCTCCGAGGATGTCTGGAGCGACGGGGGCCTCCGGGGTCCCGAGACCGTGCGGTGACGGACCGTGCGGTGAGGTCTTGGGGGATTTCGAGGTCACCGCACGGTCTGTCACCGCACCGTTTCGGGACTCCAAACTATCCTTACATCGGGCGTGTCCTTGTACAGGCAGAGTATTTAAAGATGCCCCAAAAATAGGCTGGGGACGATTTGTGGTATTTTTCATCATTTTGAGTATGTATATATATATATATATATGTATATATATATATACATATATATATATATATATACATGTGTATTGTAAATTTGCTTCCCAAATCCGCCTGTAAGAGGACATGCCCGACCGAAGCCTTGCCTACGAGGATTGAGGGAGTTGTCGTCTCTTCCGCGGCGGAAGGGCGGTGGAGAGTCGGCGGAAGTAATTACAACGAGGCCGCCTCCGCCGGCGGAATGCCGGCGGAAGGCGGCGGAAGCAAAAGATGCGCCCCCAAGAGATGAATTAAACTACCGAGTAACCCCACATACCTATTTCACGGTATGTGCGCACCAAGCAATTAGCAATTGCGACCTTCGATTGGGTACCTCGGTGTTTTGAGCCAGCTTGAGCCAGAGTGTTTACAGATCTGGATGGTGCGCAAACGCCTGCTAGTGCAACTGATGAAATTCAACGGCGAGACCTGCCCCCATGCGCACCCCCCGTGGCGTCAAGAAAGTGCCACGCCTGTCACGCCCCGCGACCCTGAAACGGATGGAGACCGCGGAAAGGGACCACCCCTTGCGCACCCCGTCTGGTGTCGAGAAAGTGCCACGCCTGCCACGCCTCGCGACCCTGGGACGGATAGAGACCGCGGTGAGGGACCACCCCTTGCGCACCCCCTTTGGTGTCGAGAAAGTGCCACCCGACCCTGGGACGGATAGAGACCGCGGTGAGGGACCACCCCCTGCACACCCCATCAGGTGTCGAGAACGTACCTCGCTTGCCACGCCCAGCGACCCTGGGACGGATATGGAGACCGCGGTGAGGGGCATGGGTTTCGTGGGTTTCGATGGCTTCGCTGTGGAAAGGGTGCCGCTCCCACACCAAAAATCCATGGACGCCCCGGTGTCTCGGGCTTGGGGCTCTCGTGGAAGGGCTCCTGCGGACGGACCTCCGCTGCAAACACACACATTCTCGGAGCCTCACGCGCGGACTTCCTGGGTCGGCGCTGGGGCCCCCCCCCGGCCCCCCCCCCGGCGGCGCCTCTGGCGGCGCCTCTGGCGGCGCCTCTGGCGCGCAGAGGGGACAGGGGCCCCGGGCGCCGATCGGAGAACGCCGCGCGGCCCTCCGAGAGCCGATCGCGGACCTCGAGAGTACGAGACCGGCCCTCGGAGCGGGGGCCCCACGAGCAGTTTCTGAAGTCGGGCGTGTCCCTCCGCAGGAGGAAGCTCGGAGAATCGACGACGGATGTGCCCCCGGAGTGCTCACAACAAGACCTCAGAGCGTGCGCTTCTGTCGATGGTGAAGTCGGGCGCAAACATGATGTAAAAAAGAATAGTCTGGGGATGATGTTTCGACCATGCTCGACCATGGCATGTTTGGGCTATTTTTTAAAGTGCTCGTTCGCTCAGAATCCGCCTGCAGGAGGGCATGCCCGACCTAAGTCAGTGGCTATCTCCCTTCGCTCCTGGTTTCAAGGCCAGAGCTCGGCGAGGCGCGGCCGCCAGAAGGCATCCCGAGGCTGGAAGGCCGCCGAGCCCCGACGAGAACGCCCGAACACCTGGAACATCGAACCTCGGCACTTCGTCCCCCCCCCCTGGAGCCTTACCACCCCCGGGGGTGGCCTGGCGACCGCGGTGTGCAGCGGGCGCCAGCGGGGGCGTCGAGCCGCTGGCACCGCTGTGCGCGGTGGCCTGGATGCATGTGCTGGCCCTCCCCCTCGTGGCCGCGCTGGGCGTCCTGGCGACTGCCGCCTCGGGCACGGAGGGCCTGGCCGGCGCGGTCGCCAGCGTCGCCACTCCCCCCGCGGACGCCGGCATGAAGCAAGCAGTGGCGAGGCGTCTCGGCCTGCCTAGAGGCCCACCACAGAATCTTCTAAGAACCTTTTTGTGGCTCGCGCGGAATATTGGAACATTTCTGGCTGATAGCGTTTTTGAGATTGATCGGCTCATGTGCTAAGAACACTGACCTTGTTATAGGACACATTTCTTTGTTCTGAGAAGATCCCGTGATAGCGCCATTAGAATGCCAGGACCGTCGGTCCTTGCGAAAGTGAAGCAGACGTCAGTGGCAACGATCAGGGGGGTCAGGCGTAGGGGGGATGCACAGACAGCCAGTCACCCATTGATCGCCGATAGGGGCGCGAGAGAGCCCCAACCTGCCCAGGAGCGCGCGGACATTATCAGAGCCCCTATCGCCGATCCATCCAGGTTGATCCTAGGGGAACAAAAAATAATTAGCGTAAGCATAAAAGCTCGAAGGTCCGCGCGGATTTCTCAAACCAGCGCGGGGCCGCGCTGGAGGCGCCGCTGGCCAGGGTCACCCTGGGCGCCGATTCAAGGAATCCGTGCGGACCCCCGAGTTCTTCTGCTCATGTCAGTGTCTGTGTCCCTAGACACAGACGTCGTGATTTTTTGGGCAACGTCGACTCCCAGAGGTCTCGACCCCTTCCCTGGGGACCAGTTCCTCATCCTGAGCCGTGTTTTGACGCTCCCAGGGCCTTGGAAGGGCCCCCCGAGGCCGAACATGGCGGAAAAAACCTCCCGTGTTGTTTTTTTTTCTTCGCATCGCGAGGGGGTCTGGCGATGTGCCCCCCCCTCCGTGCCAGTGCCCTCTGCGTAGCGTTAGCTCGGGCATGTCTTCCTACAGGCAGATTTTGGGGGACAAATTCAAAATAGCCCACAAATATTGCAAAATATCAAAACCCCCCAAACAAGTAAGCCAAACAAACAAATCGTCCCGAAACTAGTGTTTGACTATTTAGGGAGATTCCTCCCGCAGGGGGACGTGCCCGACCTGTAGGCCTAGCGCTGCCCCCCGTCGAGCGAAGCGGGCGTGCCCCGAGCGGCGCGGGCCTCACCCGAGGGAGAGGCTCCTCGCCGCTCTCGCGGGACCCCCCCCCCGCGCGGGGGCCCTCCGCATCGGACGCCTGCAGCTCGGGCGGGCCCCTCGGAGGTCCTCCCGGCCTCGGGATGTTTTTTTTTGGGGGGGGGGGGTTGGCCGCGCCCCCGGAGATCCAGAACGCACGGGAGAAATCAAGACGAGGGTGCTTCTCGACTTTCGGCCTCTCGGGGCCCTCGCCGGCCCTCGCCGGGCCCCGGGGCCGACAAGAAACGACTTAGCGGAACGGGTCGAGACTTTTGGGGACCCCGTGTGGAAAAACTCACGACATCGAATCTCTGGGCCTCGCCTCGAGGATCCTCCTATTTAGCGGGGTTCTCAAGAAGCGTCGGGGGGGCGTCGCCCCCGCCGACGGCCCCACATCGACCCCCGTCGCGGGCAGCCACCGCGCGCCGAAGGGCGCTCTCACCCCCGTCGCGGCGCGACGACGAGGGAAGGTTGACCCCCGTCGGGGGGGTACCCCCCGACGCTTGTGAAGAAACGGCTGCAGAATTGATTCATCATCACCTGGATCTGTTCCCCGGATATACGAAGAATGCGTAGAATGTCCCGTATATCGACGAACATTTTCATGTTGGATCCTCTTGCGAAGGGATAAAGCGCACGAGGCCGAGAAGCACACGGGGAAGGGGCGTCCGAGCGATGGCGAGTGGACCGCCAGGGGGCGGCTCAGGATGACTCGGGCGTCGCTCGGATGCGTGCACTCTTTTCCCACGAGGACCATCGAGGAGCATCTTGGGGCATCTCGCGCAGGGATAAGACGCACGAGGCCGAGAAACCCACGGGGAACGGGACGTCCGAGCGGTGGCGGGATGAAGAGGGCTGGTCATGGGGGAAGGCGTTCCCGGGCCCGCTTCCCTCAGGGTCCACCTTTACCGAGCCTTTTTCCCTGGGTGGACAAAGGGTGACATCTGATATGCCGTTTCGATGGATTTTCGAGGCTTCAGGCTGCAACAGGTGAATCACAAGACGGACTGATCTTCGAGGTGCAGCAGGCCATCTGGATTTCACCCTGAGCCTTCCACCCCAAGAAAAAATGCTCAGCTCCACTTTGTGCCAAGGACGCCGCCACCTGGGCGGCGCTGGCGTTCTACACGCTGGTGCCCTCGGTGGTCTGTCAGTCTGGGACGGCCTGGGCCGCCAAGGCGCTGGAGCCGTCCACCATGGCGACGTACTCCGTCCTGCCAGCCACGGGCACCTCGCCGACCTCGGGGGCGCGGGGGGCCGCCAGGAGAAACCAAACTCCTCCTCCTCCTCTTCCTTCTCAGTCCTCAGTCCTCCTCGTCCTCCTCAGTCCTCCTCCTCAGTCCTCCTCGTCCTGCTCCTTCCTCCTTCTCCTCCTCAGTCCTTCTCCTCCTCCTCAGTCCTTCTCCTCCTCCTCCTCCTCCTGATTCCTGCTTCCGGATGGCGTTCGAAGTCTCCGACTGCTTTCCTCTCCTCGTCCTCCTCCTCCTCCTCCTCCTCCTCATCCTCCTCGTCCTCGTCCTCGTCCTCCTCTTGTGGCCCCGAAGCTCCTACCGCTGATTCGGACGAGACAGACACTACACATGGTACACCGTTCGGCTTTCTCCCGCCAGTATATGATCAGCGACAGGGGCCCGCTCTCATGCTGTGTTTCCTCTTTCTCATGTTGCGGTTCCTTGGCTGCAGCCCTCGCTCGGCGGGCTTCTTCAGGATGGAGGAAATACTGAATGAGGTCAATAATCTCGATGCGGTGGCCTTGGCAGGCACCGAAAACGGGGAGAACACCAACGGCGCCGAGACGCTGGAACGCTTCATTGCAGGCAGGCTGGTCATTGAGGCTCCCCACGGTAAGGCACCGTACTCAAACAATTCGTGTGGGTGTGCGATTGTACCACCACATCAGGCGAAGGAGCGACCTGGAATGCAGGTGTGGGGTAGTCCTCCACAGGCCTTGGGACGGGGAGTAACCGCACGTGTGAAGATGGGGGCTATAGACATCTGCCTCCTGATTGTGTAGTTCCCCCCATTCAGCCGACTGCACGACAAGCACGTGGAGCGCATGTCAGAATTACTACGTTATTGATTTCTTGGACCGAAGATATTCTAGATATTCTGCCAGTAAGACGTACTCCTCTAATCTACGCGGGTTAAAACGACGGCGTGGGGTTGCACCTCATCGACGGGGAATGGGCCGAATGCGATTCTGACGCAGTAGAACCTGGGAACAGGGAAAGGCTCCACAGAGGGTCTGGCCAGCAATCCGGAATTCTGTTGGAACACCACTTCCAGGCTACCAACACTGCTGGGGCTACGGTGGCTTCGACTTGTTTTGGCAGCAATTCGAAGTCCAGGGTTGGCTACGTATGCTGTCCTCTCGGTATGTGTCACCTTGTCCAGAGTTGCGGTTGCCTGAGGCGTCTGGGAGCCAAACTGCAGGCCATCCAAAGGCCACCCCCGAAGGACCACCTTCCAGTTGCCCTCACCCTGTATGACAATAGAGGAGGCCAGCGTCAGGAGGAGGAGGCGGAGGAGGAGGAGGAGGAAGAGAAGAAGGCCTCTTGGGACTTGGAAGCTATGATGTATGCGTTACGAAAGGGCCCTGGGCGTATCGAGTTCTTTGAGGCCCTCCACGCAGAGCTCCAGTTTTTCCTCCCGCATCGGCTGCGTGACCACGCATCGCCTGACGAGATTTTCGAGGCTCCAGAGACGGCGTTGCGAGCTGCAGGAGGGCAAGTTTTTTCCTAAGGAGCAGACTGTCGACCCAGAGTACCAGATGTATTCGAAGTGGCGCCGCAGGCTCTTGAGGGAAAGAGCTGAACTACGTGGTGCCAAGGGCATCGGTTGCATCGATCACCAGGTACGAGAGATTTCTACGAGGTTGTGCAAGTTGAGGAGACAGGCGACAAGGTGGAGGAGGGCTAGGCTGACGGAGGAGTGTACTGAATACTGGAAGTCTCGGCGCGATGCCGAGGCCATGTCCACAGCGCGCCGAGCCGCGCACCGGCTACGTCGGGCTCGCAGGACCCACGCTCTGTGCTTCAAGGATATGATCAATGCGTTCGCTAGCGGAGTGGCTGCTGATGGGCGCTGTTGTGTACGAGTATGTAGCGCCCAACGATCGGGGCCTTTGTAGTCTTAGATGTCGAGAGGCCGTGGTGGCTCTACCTGCTGGGGAGGGTAGGTGACTTACTCTGAAGGCTCGGAAGGGAGCGCTCATGGGGGGCCTATTTCTCGTGCAAGCTTGCAACGGGACCTTCCAGCCACCTGTGGCTGAGTGTCGCAGCGACGCACAGAATTCCGACCCGTGCAGCCACGAGTTGATTGCGAGATGGGCAGGTTCGAACATCGATTTGAAGTACTTTAAGTATGCCAATGACATTCATGATTTTGTCACGGCAGCCTTCGATTCTACCCTATCGCGGCTTGTGCCGAAGGTTAAGCGGCAGGATTTATAATCAAATGGTAGCCTGGATCCCTGTGGGTTCGGCCGGAACGCGTCTGCGCAGGAGTTTATGATGTACTTCTGCGAGCACGGTACGCACCATAAGCAGATTCCCAAAAAGTAAGTGGACTTCGAGGGTTCAATGCGGGAACAAGTTCGCTACCTGGGTCCCCGCGTGGCTCTTTGAGACTAGCCGCGAGATCGATCGACGCACCGCCGCTTCTTGCACGTCGTTTCGCTCGCTGGGGCTTGTCCAGAAATTAGGGCCCCCGTGGTACTTTCAGCGTTTATTTTCTGCAGGCCTTCGCCTACAATGCACTACTCAGTGGCCTGGGGGCTTGATTTTATCTGGGCGAGATTGCGATGGCTGGCAAGGCCGCGGACTGGGGCGGAATTCACCCGCGCACGATGACGAACAATTCCCTACTTGTGCGTTTGATACTGTCCCGCCCTTCTCTCGAGTTTCGGATGCGTCGAGTTCGTCTCGTCCAGAGCTGGTCCAGAAGGCCTGCCCGCCGCTTCCAGATCCTCGGAGCCCTCTCCGGTGCGCTACCCTTCGAGCCGGAGGGGCCTCTTCTTTTTTCTGGAGACCTCGGTCCGCGCGCACGCACCTCGGCCCATCAGATACGAGAAGACCATCTTTGTTTGTCCAATGTTTTGGATGAAGAAGCGTTTGCTACGGTGGCTCCGGATTTCAGGTCGGTCATGGATGAAGCGACAGTTTGTTTATTTGGCATTTGTGGATGCCTCGAGCACGTTCCGTCTGCGCCGCGCGAGCCAGGGGTCGTGGAGGAAGCCCAGAGCGCTGACCATCAGTGGAGGCACTGGGCATGTCGAAACCTCGTGGACCACTTCAGGGGGGCCCGCGGTCTGCGCGACATATGCTATGGATTTACTCCTACCAATGTGCGCGTGCACTGCCGCCAAGCATTCGCATGTCGAGCTAGCGCTGCTAAACGTGTCGGGGGATCTCTGCCCCGAGGGCGCTGTGAAACGGTGGGGCCTCGTGCGATTCGGGGCGCCAAGCTTGTTGGCGCGTTCGCCTGCCCAGTGTGCGAGTTTTGACGGCTCGAGTCTCTGCAATCTCTGCAAACGCTTCTGCGCGCGTCTACCTCTGCGACAGCGCCCGTTCGACGACGGGGCGCGGCGGGGGGGGCGCAGCCGCGGGGCAGTCCGCGGCGCCGCCCTCGTGGTCCAGCGGCGGCGAGAGCAAGAGGGGCGCAGAGGCTGACGACGCGGACGCCGACGAGAAGCACAAGGGGGGGGGGAGGGGGGGGGGGGGGCGACGAGCAAGGCGGGGGGGCGCTGGCGCAGGCAACGAGCTCGCCATCGCCAACGCCAGGCTCGCCATGGCGATCGCGCGGGGGGTCGCGGAAGTGAAGGGCACATAATACCTCCGATGCGATATGATGGGCGCGACGAAGGGGGCCGCGGCTGCGAGCAAGTCTGCGGGGGTGGCTTACGACAAGACGAGCCTGGACATGAAGGAGACCGCTCGCGAGGGCGGAGATGTGAACTACACGCGGCGAGGCTTTACCCGCGCGCGCGCATAGCGATGGCGGCCGCCCTGCGCGGCGCGGGCATGCAGTCCGCCGAGGTGGCAATCCAGATCAGACCAAGCTCAGAGGTGCGATGCAGGAGCTCTTCTACAACGCGGAGATCATGCGCCCAGGCCTCTCCGCGATGAAGATCGGCCGCGCTATCCCGGACTTGCGCTGCCAGGTGCTCAAGGCGGCGAACGGCGACGCCCCGGAGGCCATCCAGTCGATGGCGTTCCACAGGGGGCACGACGGTCGGAGCCGCCTTTACTTGGCAGATGGACAAGTTGTTGGAGTTCGAGGGGGGGGGGGGGGGGGGGGGGTCTTCTTGTCGGGAACGGTTCCGAGAGGGCCCTTGGCAAGGGAGATCGGCGACGTGGTGGGGTCCAGGAACAAGTGGTAGATGGCAGCAGCCAGCGCGCAAACAGAGTCAGTGCAGTTGTGGGCCGCCCGCCCAGTGAGCCCCCCGTCGAGGCCCTCTGCTCATTACATATATATATATATACATATATATATATGTATATATATATATATATATATATAATATATATATATATATATATATATGTAGCGCCACCAGGGCTCGGGACGCCTTCACAAACAGTGCGTGTTTTCAGGATTTAGTTCCTCGTGGAGTGGTTCCCCCCCGAGATCCTTGACTCGGCCTGTAGGAGAACTTCGTATGCAGCAGCCTCCAAGCCTGGCTCGCAGCCCCTCACTCCGACAATATGCGTCCATCGTGCGAAGTCCATGTCAGGTTCCAATGGCGAAGGGAAGCGGCGGTGGGTGGTGGGACTGGGTCGGGGCGTGCGAACGGGGCCCATGTGCCTTGTGTGCCTGCCCCCCAGGGCTACGTGCCCGACTCCAGGGGTGCAGGTCGGCCTGTGCCGCTCTGGCGGGGCGCGACGGTCAAATTTGTAAGTGGTCTGGGGGCGCACAAGTAACCCGACTCAGAACCCTTGCTCTCTCGACGTATGTCAGATTAAAGTAATTCGACAGCCAGGCAGATGCCAGGACAGGACTCCATGAGCTATTTACTCGTTCTTTCATTCCTCCTCCTCCTCCCTAGGCCTCCTCCTGGGGCCTCCGTCGGCTTCCCCCCTCCTCCCCGTCGTCATCCCTTCCTCTCCTCCTCCTCGTGTTCTTCCTCCTCCTCCTCTTCCTGTCTCCCTGCCCCCTATTCTCCTTCCCCTCCTGCTCCACTTCTCGTCGCCCTTCCTTCCTCCTGCCCCTTTTTCCGCTCTCCCTCCCCCTCCTCCCCAGTTCCACCCCTCTTCCTGCCTTCCTCCTCCCTTGTCCCGTAGTGTACAAAGTACCCGGGGCCGTCGCGTACGAGACGCCTCAGGGCAGCTTTGAGATTGGTTTGATGGCATCATATCCCCAATCTGAGGCAATACCAGAGCGCTCGAATAAATCATAGTTGCTGCACGGTGGCTCGCGCAGATCAGTTGGATACGGACGGAGCCTTGAAATTGCCGACATGAGTTTAGTTTCAGTGCGTATTGCGATAGGACACAACGGATCACCATCTAACTGAACATGTGATGATAATCGTCACGTCAGCAGGGCACCATATGTTCGCGCATTGGTCCACCTACTGCATGCGGTAAACCGCCACCACGAACACGAGCGAGCACCGCTTGGAACGCCTTCGCATGTGTCACCTTCCGTCTCGACTTTTGAGGCGCGAAGGTTATTTGGGCAGTCCTTGGGCTGCCTTGGGCAAGTCTTTGGGGCCCCTTGGGCACTTTTCCGGTCGTTTTGGTCCCTCCTGGGCAGTCTTAAAGCCGTTTGGGGCCGTTGTGATGCCATCTTGCCCGTTTGGGGAGTATCTTAGGGCCGGTCGGGGTCTTTCGTAGGCCGTCTTCGGTTCTTCCAGCGGCCTTTTTGGGCTTGCTCGGGGCGTTTTGTGGTCAATTGGATTTTTGGGGCCTTCGAAGACCCCAAATGGACTACTAAAAAGCGTGGAATGTGAAACACATTGAAAGTCGACGAACATATTGGTTTTCGCTTCTCGAGGGCCTCCTGGAGTCTGTCGTGGGCGAAGAGCACCCGCATCCGCGGCCTCGCGGGCTGGGCCCCTGGGCCGCGTCCCCGCGCATAATTGCGGAGCATTTTGCTCGCATCCGTGCGACCGCCTCTTCGCGGGATCGCGGCCCGGCATCCAGACCGCGCACGCGCGGATGTGATGGAGGTTCGGCCGGCCGGCAACGTATAGGGGCAAGAAGCGCTGGGTGACGAACAGAGCGCGCTTGGGGCCCTGAAGGGCCCCTTGCGCTCCTTGCCGACCGTCCTCGGCTCCCCGACCGCCCGAGCCTCCTCCTCGCGCCCCTCGGGGGAAGCCAGTCGGCCGTGGCCCCCAGCAGCCGGCCATGAGCGCCGCGCTCTCCGCCGTGGTGCTCATGCTGGCGCCGGGGCTCCGCGGCGCGCTGGCGGAGAGCCCGCCGCCGCCGCCGGCCGTCGCCGCGCCCGCCGCCGCCGCCAGAAGCAGCCCCTTCGGCGGCCCCTCGGCGACCCCTCGGCGGGCCCTTCGGCGGCTCTCCGCGGGCCCTTCGGCGGCCCTTCGGCGGCCCCTTCGGCGACCCCCTCGGCGGCCCTCCGCAGGCCCTCGGCGGCCTCTTCGCCGACCCCTCGGCGGCGCTCCGCGGGCCCTCGCGCGGCCCCTCGGCGGCCCTCGAGGGGCCGCCGCAGCGGCCGCCACCGCCGCGGGCCGCCGCTCCTTCGGCGGCCCCACGGCGGCCCCTACGATGCTGGCGTCGCAGACTGTTGCACCACGGTCGAGTCTGCCTCGCTTCGGGCCCTGGGGCCCTATCATGAATCGATCGGGCTGGACAGCTGCAGCAGGAAGCTGGGGTCCAGGAGTCCAACAAGCAGTGGCGAAGCGTCCCGACTTCCCTATAGGCCCACCAACGAATGTTATGAGAACATTCTGCGGTTTGCGCGAAATGTTTTTCGAACATGTCTGGCTGAGACTGTCTTGCTTTAGCACATCGGGTCTATGTTCTAAGAACCTTGTCTTTGTTTTCAGAAAATGTGGGGGCTCTAAAGACATGTCGTGGTCGGCCTGCAGGCATACCGGGACGGTCGGTCCCTGCTCAAGTCCAGGGCTCCGGTTGAGTTTTTGTTGGTAGGGTGTTGCAGCTTTTTCGCGACGCCGGATCTCAGGGGCCGCGGCCGCCGCCGCCGCCAGTGACGGCCTTTCGGTGGCCCCTCGGCCCAGACATGATCGCGTCGTGAAGGCACATCACGACGGGAGGTTTGTGGCCGTGTTCGGCCTCTGGGTGCCCTCGCCAGGCCCCGAGACCGTCCAGAACTCCACCCCCGACCGAACAGCCGATCGTGGGGAAAGGGTCGGGCCGTCCGTGGGCTTCGTCCTGAACGCATCCGGGCATCGCATCTGGGGGCGGCCCTGGGCGGCCTTCGCCATCCCCCCGGTTGCGGCACGGAGAGCCGCGCCCGTCGCCGTCGCCGCCGCCGTCCTCTCGTCCTCGCCCCCGCTCTTGTTGTCGTTGTCGTCGCCCTCCTCGTCCTCGCCCTCGCTCTCGGCTCCGCCCTCGACCTCCTCCGCCGCCGCCGCCGCCGCCGCTGCCCTCCTCCTGCGCCTCCTGCTCCTCCTCGCCCTCGTCGTGGTCTCGTCGTCCTCGCGCCCCTCCCCGTCGCTGGAGCCCTGGAGCCCGAGAGGAGCCCGCGGCCAACCTGCTGGGCGTGCTGCCCGTGCTCGCCGGCCTGCGGCTGATCGCCTCGGGCCCGGCGCTGGCGGATGCGCCCAGGGCGCGTCGGCGTCAGCGTCGTCGTCGTCCTCCTCGTCCTCGCCCTCGTTCTCCTTCTTATCATCATCATCATCAGCAGCAACAGCAGCATCATCATCATCATTGTCATCGTCATCATCATCATCATCATCATCATCAGCAGCAGCATAATCACCAGCAGCAGCATCAGCATCACCATCATCAACATCATCAACAGCATGTGCAGCATCATCGTTATCATCAGCATCAGCATCAGCATCAGCAGCGTCATCACCACCAACATCCAGGATCACCATCAGCATCACCAGCATCGCTACCGCCACCATCATCGGCAGCATCATGAGTATCAGGCATCCTCACCCCCACCTTCTCCTCCTCCTCCTCCTCCTCCTCCCCCTCCTCCTCCTCCTCCTTCTCCTCCTCCTCTCAAGCACAGGTGGGCGGGGCGCGTAGTGCCATCTTTTGGCTCTCACTCGCTCGCGCTAGCCTAGCTTCCCGCCTCCTCGTCGGCGCTTGGGGGACACCAGGGCGTCTGGACAGTGTTGGGAGTCTTTTGCTCGCAACGGCATCGTTCAGCCCCTCCTGGTGACGAAGGGAAGCGAATTTGTGTTTCAACATTTTCCCGAACATCTTCCTCGGCATCCCGTCCGCACCGAGGGGCACGGGGGCTTCGAGCCCATCTAAGTCCCACTCGGGCGGCGGAGCGCGGCGGTGTTCGTCGTGGTGCTCTCCTTGGACCTCTTCATCGGCATCCCGTCCGCAACCGGGGGGCACGGGGGCTTCGAGCCCATCTAAGACCCACTCGGGCGGCGGTTTTTTCGCTGGGGCGTGGTTCCTGGAGCTATTTCAATTCAGCGTTTGGTTTGTGGGGGCAGTGTTCTCGGCTGGAAGGAATGAACACTTTGGCTGGTGTTCTCGATTGCGTTACTGTTTTGCGAGGCTGTCTGTGGATGAGGCGATCTTTATGATATACGTGCGAGGTTGCCCGATTATCTACGGTAGGGCCGAATCGAGCCGAGCTCATTTCAGCTTAGCTTATCACGTTTCGCTTGTCGAGGGCGCCAGTCAGTTTGGAGGGATTCGCCATGGTATGTTATCATGGACTTCGGTGTCGCGTTCTACTTGTACCTCTCGCTGGGTTCCTCCTTCTGGTTCGTCTCGTTGGTGGGTGAGCTCAGGGGGCGGCCTTAGCATGTAGCTTTGATTTCACTCTTGTGAAGGCGGTAATCCTGGTAATCCTGGTAATCCTTCTCCTCCTCCTCCTCCTCCTCCTCCTCCTCCTCCTCCTCCTTCTCCTCCTCCATCATCACCAGCCTTTCCAGCATCACCACCACCACCACCATCGCCACCGCCACCACCGCCGCCGCCAGCTGTTCGCCGCGATCGCCCGGGGCCCTCCCGGAGGCCCTGCCGCAGGCCCGATGGGGAGCGGCGCCCCGCCGTCACCGCTGGGCGCGCGCAGGCGGGCGGCGCAGCGCGGGTAGCCCCAGCGCCCGCGGCCTGGCCCTCGACCGGGCGCTGCACACACGCGCCACCCGGGTGGCGCAGCTGGCCCTTGGGTCGGGAGCCTTGAGACGGGGGTCAATGCAAACGGGGGTCGGCCAGGGCACTGGTTCCTGCAAGATCCTGCGAAGACCCCCTCTGGCTGACCCGGGTCAGCGGGCCGCTCGTGGCCGCGAGGCGGCCGCGCGTATTGGCTGACCCGGGTTTGCGAAGCCCTGCGTTGCAGTTGTTTATTTCCCGCATTGCAGTTTTTGGGTTTCTTGCTGACCCGGGTCTGGATTGACCCGGGTCAGAACCCCGACTGGGCCCCGGCGGAGCGCTCCCTCGCCCCACGAGGCCGCGGGAGCCGAGGTTCGGACGGGGCCAGGATGAAGTCGACCAGGTCCCTCTGCAGGAGGAAAGTTCAAACATATGTTTAAATAAAAAAGGATAGCGACGATGTTTCGATGTTTTTCTTTATCGTTGGGTGGTTCTCAATAGTGTTTGACTATTTTCTTTGTTTTCCGAAATACCCCTGTAGGAGGACATGCCCTACCTGAAGCCAGGACGAGGAGACATCGCTTCCAGAGCGCCCCGGGCACACTCTCAGAGCGTCTGGGCACGCTCTGCGAAGGCCGCGGCGCCCGAGACATCCTGCAGTGCCGCCGGATCTCGGAGATTCTCGATCGATTCATCCTAGCCCGAGTTTCTCCTCGTCTCGGCTTCGTCTCCGAGGCCCCCTCGGCTGTCGCCAGGACAGCCGAGAGCAGCGGGTAGAAAGCCAAGGATTGCGGCCTGCACCTGCAGAGCGAGGTGAAAGTGAGTGGGACCTTTGGGCCGGCCGACCCTGCGGCCGCCAGAGCGACCGAGGGGTGCGCTCAGCCCGGGAGCGTCGAAGCCGTGCCCCCCCCCCTCCCCACACACCAGCTCCGGAGGGTTCCAAGGTTTTTTGGGGGGGAGGGGGTTTTCCAGAGATCCCCCCAGGGGCTTCGGAACCTCATCAAAACAGGGGGTGCCAGGCCCCTGGGGGATCCCTCCTGGAAAACCGCTTCCCCAAAAAACCCTTTTTGGAACCCTCTGGCAGCCCGCCGCCGGCCCGAGGTTGTGGAGGATGGGGGGCCGCGGAGCCCGGGGAGCTGGGGGAGCTATAGGGGGAGCTATAGATTCAGCAGCAGCCGTGCGTCGGCGGGGGCCTCCGCTCCGGGGCACTGCGGGCGCCGCGCGGCGGGCCCGGTGAGGGCCCCCAGAGGCCGAACATAGCGACAAACCTCCCGTCGTGAGTTTCTCACGACGCGAGGGGGTCGCGGCTTCGGAGGGCGTCGAGGGCGCGGGGTCCAGGGCTCGGCGTGGAGCCTGCCCGCGTCGGGCGGCGCTGGCGGTCGGGCAAGGTGCTGCCGCAGCGCGGCGCACATGCCTTCGGCGCGGAGGTGACCGCGCGGCAGGCCCAGGCTGCGCTGAGAGCGCGGCGGCGTCGCGTGATGCTGTGGCCGCGCGCGCGCCGCCCCGCGAGCGGTGGCAGCAGCCCCGTTCTTGCCGCGCTCTTGTCGTCTCGGTGCAGCCGCCGCCTCCGGCTGCACGGGGCCCTGCGGTCCATGCGAGCGCGGTGCGTGCGCATGTTGCCGTCCAGAGATCCGAGGGGGCGGGCATTCGAAACACGAGCGCCGTGGGCAGCCGAGGTTGCGGCACTCTGGCGTGTTTTCGAGTCATGCGCACCGTGGTGCCACGCAGAATGTGTGTGTGTGTGTGTTTATGTGTAGCGGTGACGGCTGCTTCCAGCTGGCAGGTGCTCACGCGAGCGCATGTGCCGTGCGCCGTCGGGCGCCGTGCTCTGGCGGAGGGCCCACCTCTTGGCGCAAGCCCCCGCTGATGCGGCATACGCAAGGGTTCGGCCCTGCATCGAAGAAGGAAGACGCCGCAAACATAAACTTCTGGCGCTCCGCGCGGATTTCTTGGATCCGCGCTGGATTCCCCTGGCGGCGCCTCGGGCGCCGCCCCCGGCGCGCTCCGCGCGCCAGGGAGGGGGATCCAGGGAGGGGGGTCCAGGCGCGCTCCGCGCGGAGCGCCAAAAGTTTATGTTTATGGCGTTTGTTCTTCTTGTGCTGCAGTGCTGCTTGGCCATCGAGGCTGGCGGCGCGTGTGTGCTCG